TAGAGATAGAATGATATTCATTGAGATGGTGTTGAACTTTTTTGATAAATATTTTTATGTTCTTGTTTAATAAGAATTTCTTGTTGATGTCGAGGACGGATAGCAGTCTGATTTGATCGTATACAAGATGGACCTAAAAGAAATAATAATTGAAAAAGAAAACAAAGCTAATCCAAATAAATGACATCGTTCATTGTCTCTTTGTCTTTTCTCTGTCTCTATCTCTCTATGTTACTAGAAAATATCTTACCAAGCGAAAGATGATTCCATTGACATATATTAAAGAGCTTGTCCGTAGGTAACGCACTCACGTTTTGCCAACTTTCGGGCTGACTTTTTTAGCAACAACAAAGCTTAGAGCCTTGAAACTTTGAGAATATATGTATGCTATGATGCACTGTAACATGTATAAGTTTCGTTCTAATTGGCTTTAGACTGTCGTCTTTTATATGAAAAATACATGCAGGTAACGCACTCACAAAAAAGACCTTCCTTATCCTAGGTGGTGTCACATTGTGTGAAATTTCTGCGAATCGTTGAATCGTAAACAGGATAATTGTACGTTAATTTATAAAGGACAGATAGGGCTCTCTATATGAAAAATTAGCTTTCAAATCTGACCGAGACCGTATTCGAAAAAAATGCATGTAATTGAGTCATAGATTCATCAACATCTTCTTGCATAATTTCGTCGATAATGATCACCTTGGTTCTGGTTTTTGCAATATTAACAAAATCAGCTGCATTTTTACATTTATCCTTTTTCGTTAATATTTGTTGCCAAACAAGTCTTTTAACAGTACCACCGATGGCATCAACCACCCCTTTGGCGTGGCTCGTAGCAAAAAAGAGCCAGAAAAGAAACAATTTAAAATAATTTGAGATGCGTATTAAATTATGGAACAAGTATCACTGTTTAAATTGACTAGCAGCGCCGTCACTAAAAAACAAAATTTCTTCTAATGACGGCAATTCTTCTTTCATCTTGTTGATCACATAAGTAATACAACTATTAATACAATATTTATCATGACTAATATTATCTGATACTAATAAAAATGAATAATTATCATTACCACACCAAGCATGAGCTGTAAAAATGGAGACCGACTTGGAAGTTCGGTGTGCAGATTGAATTTCATCTTGTTGTTTTATTTCAAAATTTTCGCTATAATCAACTTGGATAACAACCTTTTTATCACTAGAATTGGCCTGTGACTCTTCGAAAAATTTGCTTTGTTGGCGTTTGATATAAACATGTAATAAAAAATTTTCACTTGAGAAGACAACACTTCAATACATTGCTCTTCTTTGGTTGCATAGCCATTAATATGTTTCCATTGATACCACCTAATTTGAACATTTTTATCAATAACATTACTTTAAATATATAAATCGAAATAATTAGAACACGTAAAACAATTAGACGACATACAGTCATTATTTGATTCATCACAAACAAGAACTGATGTAAATGAATGTAAATTTGAACATTGTGATCCATTGATATGTTTGCATAGACTATTCAACAGCAAATTAACGTTTTCGTGGTAAATGCAAACGCATACACGGTGTGCCATAGACGATTTTACTACAACATGTTTAGGACGAATTTCAGCAAAGACCGTACGACCCAAGGAAATGCCTTAAATAAAATCAACGGATTTAACATCAATAGGAAAACAACAATTTACCAGGATGTTCAATAAGAAAAAGTTCATATGCTTCTCGAATTGTATAAAGCATAATTCTTTTTTGGTACGTTATTTTATTTCCATCATCATTGACAACAATAGTATCACGTTTTCCAGGCATTTAATATGAAATATCATCTCGGCAATAAAAAGAAATTACGTTACTTTTTATGTTTGATGATAACTATCGAGTAGTACGTTAATAATCATTTTGAGGTACAATACCAACTGCTTGAGCTAAGGCCCGAACGACCATTGTTTTTCTATCGAGATCTTTCGGAAGAGCACGTTTTGCTTTCTTCATTGCTTTCCCGAAAGGCTGTCTTGTTGAGAAACCATTTCTAAAATTGAGGAGAATTCTATAAAGCACGATGAAATGTTCTACTAGATACTGGGGCTTCTTGTTTTTGTTC